AATATATATTTAGTATATGTATTTCTTCTCAACTACCTAATATACAAATATTCCAAATTCGTGAGTTATGGTCGGTCTTGATTTTACATAGCAAAGTCCCATAGAAAAAGTAATTTCTAGTTTAAAATCCTTATTTAGATTACTATGTAATAAAGAAGAAAAAAGTAATATTTAACTATTTAACTAAATGCAAAAAATAAAAAATAAAAAATAAAATATCCAGTTCAACAAACCAAATAGTAAATGGAGTACATAAATACTTACATTCATTCGATAATAAATAAATAAAGCAACCACCATAAAAAGAGTTTTCGTGTGAAAATTAAACGGAAGTACATTTTTAAAAGTTGAAAGTGACAACAAAAATTGTTTAAACTTGCGAGACAGTTCGAAAAACAGCGATTAACTGCACGCAGCCGACGAAAAATTTTGAAATGCTTAGCTGACGTTGAGTTAATGAGTTCAAATTTGAGATGAAGTTAGATCAGTGACGTACGCCGGCTGTCGCTATCAGTTAAACACAGGTAACCTACCGTTTGTTATTGCTGCTGTCTCTTCGTAAAGTACGGTTGAACCTTTTTACTGCACGCAAAGACACAATGAAATCGGCAGCAAATATTTTCAGTTATACCTTTTTGTTACATTCGCTTTTGGCTTGAAACCGTTTAATTAAATATTTTCGTGCGCAATTTCAAATGATTATATGTTTTATTACTACTTAGGTTTTAGTCAGCAGTTAAGCCAGTTAAGTGGACAGGTTGGCACTTGGAATGAGACATAATTGAAAATTGGTTGACGGGTTTGGTAATAGCTTTACGCTTTGCTAATATGTATGTAGATGAATGCCCTGCCCCCAGTGTCATTCACAGTTATTTAGCAAGGTCGCGTGGAAATTTAGCTATTATACATATATGTACTTATTTAATATGATTTACAAACTAAGTTATTATAATATATGGTTACTTAGTTTTCTAACATTAGAGGGGTTAAGGTCGCTTCGTTGAATTTAACGCCAAAACTTAAGTAATAATTTTTAATCAAAAGAACTTAAATGATTTATTAAAGTATGTTTAGTAGGAATGGTAATACCGGGATCCCGGGGTCTCGGGATCTCGGTCTTTTTTACACCCCGAAAATCCCTGGATTATTTTCATAGAATCCTGGGATTATCGGACTCTGTAATTTACACTGGCGGCAATAAAAGAAACGCCTTATGCTGAACAGTTTAGGCTATATTTTTTTTGTTTATTTAATATTCAATCCCTTTTTTATAAATGTGTAGCTCATTATACATATATAAATACCTTGCGACGGGTAATTTTACTCAAAAAATAATCAATATATTGACGAAACCAAGGGCCAAATATAGTAAAATTGCGTTCCGATTTGTTCTCTCCAACATCAGGATTTTTTAAAAGAACTTTGAAATTGAAAAGATATGAGTAATTCAAAAAATGATTTTAAAAATTTAGTGCAATGTTCATATTTAGAAAACCAGTGTGGGTATTATATTAAAAAGAAAATTCTGTAGAGTTAAAACAAGAGATCGAAAATAACCGTCACCAAGTGTCTTGTATGGTGTTTACCACTGACACAAACACTCATCTCTCAAGCAAAGAGTGTTTCTCACCGTGGAATATTACTCTGTGCGACCTTTTTGTGTCTTCCGTTGTGGGTTATTTATCAACTGCTAAAATTTCCCTTAGGTAAAGACACTTTGGCAGGGACTTTTAAAGTATCTTAATTTGTGGGTTATTGTAAATCTGAAAAATATAAGTGGGCGTACATAAGTGGAAGATTAAATATTTTGTTGCATAAGGGATGGATAGGTATTGAAAATGCCCTTTTATAATTTTATTCTTGCAAATCCTTGAAATTTGGCAATTCTTATTTTTGAAAAAAAAAAATATGCTAAATAGATTAAAGGGGCATTCTCAACCCCTATTTGTCCTTGTGTGTGGACCCGTATTTTTGTTCTACATTGCACTGAATTTATTAAATAAGTTCTGGAATTAATCATATCTTTGAAATTACAAAGTTCTTTTATTAAAAATCATGCAGCTAATTATATGTAATATGAGGTAGACTTTTATAAAAAAATAATTTAATATTGCATAACCAAAAGAAATATAGACAAAACTGGTCGAAATAAGGCGCTTCTTTTATTTCTGCCACTAGTATTATGAACTTCTTTAAACCAGAAAATACATTTTTTTTTTACTAAACTTTATTTTGCATCGAACTTTTTTCGTCTACCATAAAGTTCCTTTTTATGCTCTTGTCGCACCGAATGCTGTGTTTCGATATAACAATAGCAGCTATCCGGCTATTTTCCAAGCAGGGACTCAAGTAATAGAAAACTTGTGGCATCTGAATCATGGCCGTCACTGACCTTACTACTTAGGTAGCTCTAAAGTCCCACATAATTACATCAAAACTTCCTGTGCCGTATCAAAGCTTCCTCAGCCACCAGGCATTGATAACCACGGTTGCCATTTCCAATTTATTTTTCGGACCAAAAAAATTACCCAAATGGTAAAAAATTGACCAATTTTTATTGCATGGGGAAATTGAGTGGAGTTTATTCCTCTTTGTCAAGAAAATATGCCAATTCAGTTTTTATAACGATTTTTTTTTATTGCATCCAAAGTGCATTACAATTGCATATTATTAACATTATATTATTTAAAGTTTTAATTTATAATTTTTTTCTCAATTTCGTTTTTATTAATGCTAAATAAAAAAATTTGCACTTTACTGCTGCGGAACTGTGAGGCAGACTAAAAATGTTATGAACTAAGTCACACAGTTCTCCAAAGACCGCTTCCCCAATCAATTTTTAATGAAAATTACTTCTAAAAACGTTCTATATTGGTACAGTTTTTGAAGTTACCTTCACTCAGCCTCAATTTGCGGAATTGAAATTCGATTATGTCTGCATCATTTACCAATGCTGGAAATTGGTCGAGTAGCGGCAAAATTGATACATCAGTGTCAGAAAGTACTTTATGTGGGGTAATAATTTCAAGATGTTTAATATCTTTTCGATCAATTAACTAGAAAAAAAATTGAAAACGCAAAACTAATGCATGAAGTTAAAGGGTAATAATAACCTAACCAAAGGCTTGTGAAATCGACCATTTTAAAAAGAATTGGACCAAACGAAAAGAAATAGACCAAATTTGGTCCATTTGGACCAAAACGGCAACTGTGTTGATGACCTGTGTTAAAATGTCAAATAGGCATCCACATAGACGGCACAGTAATACCGACGATTAATAGTCCGAAATTTTTACGGGCCACCTTTAATGGCTTGGTTTACTCCTCCGCGCTCAAAACTGGAATTGTAATTAACTTAACAAGGCAATTGGCCGGTCCGTGCTAAGGTTGTCTGTACCAGTTTGGTCCCCCTCTGGACATCAGCGGAACGCCTTCTGATATCGTTTGTACATCACCTTCATAGCGACTACTAACAATCGCAGACGAAAGGTGTTAGTAAGAGTAGCCTGGAGATACCGGCGTAGCTCTGGCGCAACTAAAGTGTTAATACTATAGCAGGTTGAATTTCCCGATGCAACCAGCAAATCTCTGGCTTTTAAAATCCGCACATACCACACACAATAACTCTTCACTTGTCGCCAATCACCCAATTCGCTAAAACCCCTTTATTTTTAATCCAATCACGTTGAAACAGCAGGTTTAGTGCGCCTAGCGTTAGTTGAGCTAGACGCCAACGAGTGATAGATTAGACGATATAGGCAGGGAAAATAGTGAAAATATCACAAACGTACATTAACTTTATAGAGTTCCAGAGAAGAACGTTAGATTTGACAGTGCACCACTGCATCCATTTCTTTTACCACTGGTATAGAACAAGTAGGTTTTACAATGCACCATGGAAATAATGTGGGTGTCTTTAGTAAGTACAGAGCTGGAAGATTGGTGTGAAGTTTGGAAGGGATTTCATTGGAGGAAAAGGATAAAGAGTATTTACATATCAATGCATCTGTCCCCAGATAAGACTTCTTCTAAAAATACGTCTTTGAATTCCTAGGCTCGTAGACCACTCAGAAATTTCGACACTTTACAAAACACTATCAGGTTTTTATAATTTAATAGCTAAAGTCGTCATTTAAAATGTGCCGCACAATATATTAAGAACAATAATATTAATAATATTTTCATTTTTTTTTATAGGATATAAAATTTAAATATTATTAGTCTGTAAGGATATGTATTTCCATTGACTGAATAAACATAAACATAAATTAAAAAAATTTCCGAAGAATTAAGCGTACTATGTTTTGAGGCTCACTGATCTCGAGTTCTGTATCACATTCAAACTTTTTCGGTTGACAACTGTCAAACAAACTGTAATTTTCAGTTGAGTAACAAAATACTATATTTGTTTAGCAAAACTTTATTTATTATATACGAGGGTACATACCTTAAATGAACTTATGATCAAATTATGAAATAATAACAGTAATTATATTTATAAATTAAAAATAGTTGGGGCCGTCAACTATATGTTCAGCCCAAACAACTATGATCCAGGCCTCAACAGTTTTTCTTCAAGATTTTATTTTTTATTTTATACGAAATTCGTCATTTCCAAAACTTCAGTTTTCTCATTCCAACTACCAAATTTCCAGAAAATTCAATCATTTTTTTTTAATCTGAGACGCCATATTGGATTTTGCATTTTAGATTTTCAAAAACTAGTTTCAAATTTGTAATGAGCGAACTTATGAATTTCTGAATACCAAATTGTTCAGCAGATATTATTGAATATACTAATCAGTTTTAAGTTCGTTTGAAATTTCTAAATAAGAATAAGCAGCTTTATTCCGGTTAATTTATCACAGCTTTAAAATATGCCGTTTTCGCGTAAAACATGGCTTCCCCTATATTAGAAAAACAAGGTGGAACTAAATTTCAGTTATTCTTTTTCCATTAGATTGCATTAAAATTTCGCATTTTTTCTCTTCTCCTTTCAGCACCCAACCGCAGGACACGGCTTGTCAGGCAATGAAAGATCGCCGCTGCTGTTGGACGCGTGGCAAAGTCATAGGCGGCAGCTCAGTGCTCAATACTATGCTCTATATACGTGGAAATCGACGCGACTTCGATCAGTGGGCATCTTTTGGCAATCCTGGTTGGGCATATGAGGATATATTGCCCTACTTCCGCAAGTCGGAGGATCAGCGCAATCCATATCTGGCGCGTAATAAACGCTATCATGGCACAGGTGAGTTAAAACCTCGGAATACGAGCCACAAGATTACATTAATAATGACCACATTNACAGGTGAGTTAAAACCTCGGAATACGAGCCACAAGATTACATTAATAATCACCACACTTTTTCTATCACTAGGCGGACTTTGGACAGTGCAGGACTCGCCCTATAATACGCCACTCGGACCAGCGTTCCTGCAGGCCGGCGAGGAGATAGGCTACGACATTGTGGATGTAAATGGTGAACAACAGACTGGATTCGCTTTTTATCAATTCAACATGCGACGCGGCTCGCGTGCTTCCGCTGCTAAGAGTTTTCTGCGGCCGGCGCGTCTGCGAAAGAACTTGGATGTGGCGCTTTTCGCACATGTTACCAAAGTATTGACGCATCCGGAAACTAAACGTGCCATCGGTGTACAATTTATACGGGATGGGCGCTTGCAAACCGTTTACGCCACCCGCGAAGTCATACTCTCCGCCGGCGCGCTCAGCTCACCGCATTTAATGATGCTATCGGGCATTGGACCGGCCGATGAGCTGCAACGCGTAGGCATACCATTGGTGCAGCACCTGTATGGTGTGGGGCAAAATCTGCAAGATCACATTGCTGTGGGTGGTATTGCATTCCTCATTGATTACCCAATTTCGATTGTGATGAAGCGAATGGTTAACATTAACACGGCTTTGCGCTATGCTATCACCGAAGATGGGCCGCTCACGTCCAGTGTTGGTTTGGAGGCTGTTGCTTTCATCAACACAAAGTATGCTAATGCCAGCGACGACTGGCCCGATATCAGTTTCATGATGACCTCAGCGTCGGTTATGTCTGACGGCGGTTCGCAGGTTAAGACCGCGCATGGTTTAACGGACGAATTCTACAATGAAGTCTTTAGCGAAGTGAATGATCGCGACGTTTTCGGCATTTTCCCCATGATGCTGCGCCCAAAGAGTCGGGGCTTTATTAAACTGGCCTCGAAAAATCCGCTGCGCTATCCACTGATTTACCACAACTACCTCACACATCCAGACGATGTGAACGTTTTACGCGAGGGCGTTAAGACAGCGGTCGCTATGGGCGAGACGCAAGCATTGAAACGCTTTGGCTCGCGGTTTTGGAGCAAACCTCTGCCGAACTGCAAGCATCTGCCACAATTCACCGACGAGTATTGGGACTGCGCCATACGCCAGTACACGATGACCATCTACCACATGTCGGGCACTGCCAAAATGGGTCCACCCAATGATCCATGGGCCGTTGTTGATCCGCAACTGAGGGTATATGGTGTACCAGGGCTGCGTGTAATCGATGCCAGCATTATGCCCACCATCACCAATGGCAACATACATGCGCCGGTGATAATGATCGCCGAGAAGGGCGCAGATATGATAAAAGAGCTGTGGCTTAGCAGTACACAGTGGCGTGCGAAGCGAAAGGCGAGGTCCGAGGTGAACCCTATTTGCAATATAACCGAAGCGCTGGGGAGTACAGCGAAAAAGAGTGAAGAAAAATGAAAGTTGAGGGCAAAAACTGAAAAAAAAGTAAATGGATACAACTTCAAAGCGCTGTATTTATGCAGGTACTGAAGGAATTGGATTGGATTGGTTATTTGGCAGCGGTATCGTAACGTTGGGGGGTGTGAAGTATGTATGAAAGGCGATCAGTTTACTTCGATAATCCAACCGCAGCTTATTATTAAATCCAGCATGCTGAGTGTACATACACTTAATCCTCAAAAGCTTCAATTTAGTCACTAGTTAGTTAATTACATCATAATTTTAAATGACATAAATTGTACAAGATTTTTCACCAACTAATTTAATTGCCTGTATTTTCAATCTTGCTTTGTTCTTAGTCACAACTTTTTATTTTAACTTTAAATAATTTATATTATTTGCGAATTAAGTACACACATAATTTTAGTTAGTGGCGATTCAACAAAGATTACTTGGTAAGTCATTTTATGCATTGTACATATCGAGTCACAATTTCGATACCTATAAGATAATGTGCTTTTAAGCCTAGTTTATAGATTAATAAATGAAACGTTTTGGAAGTAGCATGTTTCTTTTTCATTTATTTGTCGTCATTTTCTAACAAATGATGATTTGCTACTCATGAAGTACCTAGACCTTCCATTTCTATTTTAAAATCTGAAATTGACTTGTGGCTGGAATTGACGGCTGTGGATGGTTTGAAATCAAATAATATTTGGCTAAATAGTTAGGGCCGAAAAAGCACACAGAATGTGCTCCAACATCTCTCTCTCCAGATTGCGGCAAGTTAGATAGCTAGAGACTTATTTAATTAAAATTCTCGAAACCACCACGATCCTTTTCTCTTCAGCAGGTCGCACAGTGGAAGAGCTCCATAAAAAATGTAGCAAAAGGTAGTGAATGTGCTCCGATTTTGCTATAAATAAATATGAAAAGTGGTTGAACTTAGCGGACTGCCACGACCACTATACGAGGGGGTCGGCTATGGTAGATTGCACTCGATTTCTATGAAATTCGATTTGTAACTTAGGTCTGAAAGATGGGGAAAATCGGTGTACTGCCACGCCCACCAGCCATCCGAATTCTGGATTCTAATGTGGCAAGGACCCGTAACGATCCTCCGAAATAGCACTACTTTGATGCAATATCTATTTTTGCATTAAAACCCCGAGATATATAACAAATTGTGTGGATTGGCGATCAGCCACGCCCCCCTCCCACCATAATAGTGGGCGGGAGGGGCAAAATTTATCCGATTTCAGAGAAATGCACATAAGGTACACATCGATTTTAATAAAATTCCATTCCCACCAACTAATGTAAGCAAAAATTATTTCTTATTAAGAAACGAAATTACTGACCTACATAAATCTTTTATAAACAGCATCTTTTTCAATTAAAAAAGTTGCCGGATTGAAAATAGCCAGTGAAGGGTACCGACGTACCTTGACGAAAGAACACGCGATGAGACTATAGAGGATTTAGCACCCATAAAGTGTTTAAAAAATTCGAACCGCAATTTACGATTTGGAATGTGTAGCGTAGACATCGTTTGTTTAAGTTAATAAAAACATTCTGGGAAATTGTAAGTAATGTAAATATTCCGAAATCGAAAACGACATTCTAGAGAGCTTATGTCATTAAAGTGCACTATCTCCACAGTCATATTGACAAATTCCCTGAGGATCTTGGATCCTACAGCGAAGAACAAGGCGGCCGGTTTCACCAGGATCAAGGCCGATGTGATCCTCATATGATGACTGACTGCTGCTGAGGTATATACCTATATATATAATTGCATTTTTTATTAAACGCCGTTTGTCTAGAACGGGCGAATCACTACACAATTGCAAGAGCATTTGATGATTCCATACAACTATTGGGTACTGATTTCGGCGAAAATTGTTTTAATGTCACTTACGCAGAGCCAATATATCGAGCCTTAATCGCCAAAAAAACGCAAGGGAATTTTTTTTCTAAATTTTCTTTTTGATGCAGAATTGCATTTAGATGCTCTAGAGGCATTTCTGCATCAAAAAGATAATTTTTGAAAAATATGTCGCTTTGGTTTTTTTGGCGTTTAGGGCTCGATATGGTATAATCAGCAAAAGCGCTGGAGGTATTTTACCCAAAGTTACTGCACGTTACTTGTTTGGTACGCAATGCTCCGAGTGGACGATTTGATATCGAATGGAAAAAATATTTTTAAAATCTGCTTTGCGCGTTGAAGCTTTTAAGAACATGTATACCTACATATATCGCCAATATTAACGAAATGGGGAACCTGGTTAGGGGCGGCAAAATACAGTGACAGCTGTTAAGCAGGGATCACACAACATGTACATTTGACATTTTGATTTGTACATTTTGGCAGTTAAAAAGTGGTGTTGTCTTGTCTGGAATAATATACACATATTTAAAAATTTTAGATATTTATTTAATTAATTTTGAGTTTTTCGTGGCACTTACAATAACTCCTTGTGTTAATGAAATATGAATAGTAAATAAATGAAATTAAAAAAGAAAAATAAATGCGAGTTTTCGTTTGCATATTTTGTTTGTTTTTAATGCATAGTTTTGTATTTTTAGTGCATATTTTTGATTTTTTAGTGCATAAAAACCCGGGCCCTATTGATAATAAAAGGATTTATAACTTGAAATTGTAAATTTTTTTCAGTCGACATAATAAAGGCTATTTAGAGCCGTAAAGTCAATATCGAATTATGCGTTTCTTTGGAGGCATACTTAAATTAAGATTTTTTGGGATCGAAAAATTATGTTTGCCTTAAAATCTTATTTTGAAGATTTTTGTAAATTAAGATTTTCAGGGGACTTTCTCTGGCAACACTGCTTGGAGTTACAGTCTCCAAATCTGCGGGATCATATTGGGAGCATTTCCTAGGAAAATTTATAAACAAAGACTATGAAGGTGATAAATAGGTCTTAAATGAAGAGTCTTACAGGCATATTCTGCTTGTAACCAAACATGTTGAACATTTTACCATAAAATGACCCAATTCTTGTAACCGCAATTCTAGGTACATTGGTAACGTTTTAATCTATTCAGCAATTCAGCCATGAAGTTCTGTATAAAATCTGGTGTTGCATATTTCACGGGCAAAATTTTGTTACCTTTTTATGAGATTGTAGGTTTTATTACCGGTATATAGACCCTTTTTGTATTCTGCGCACTCTTGTAACTGGTAAATTTTGCTACCATCCCATAAGCAGGTAACAAAATATTGCCCCGTGCATATGTAACAACAGAATTTGTACAAAACTGCATAGCTGAATTGCTGAATAAATTAAAACGTTACCAAGGTACCTAGAATTCCGGTTACAAGTGGTGTCGATGTTTGGTAACGAAATTTCCCGGTTACGAAATGTTCGGTAACAAGAAGAGAAGGTCTGTTAATGTTGATATTGATGCAAGACGGTAAGATCCCGAGATTCAGTAGTTGCGTAAATTGCTGTTCGGAAATGCATCATGCAAAAAATAAAAACAAAATCCGGCATGACATAAGAAATATTAATCATCGTCTTCACCTTACATATCTATTTGGCTTGCGTGAATTTACACCATGCACTCTGTTTCTGCTTGTAGCTAGGACAAAAACCAATAAGGTGGAACTTTGAAGTGGTAGGCTTTGGTGAATTGTCCACCACTATGGTGAAAGATAATCTGCGCCAAAGAGCGTCAGGGGTGTGACTTAGCTAAAAATTGAAGGAAATCTGGAGAAATGTGGACACAATGGCTGAAGACTGCCTGGTCAAGGAAATTAAGGCACAACAAATTTGCAAGTATAAGTATGTCCTTTCATTTCGAATTTTCTGACTTACTGCTCAGAAACAACTAGCATTTGTAAAGTTTTATGTTGGCATGTGTAGCGTTGCGTTTGGCTACAGTTGTTTAAAATGAAAAGCTGCACTGCTACATACATTTTCATAGCTTCATACTTTTTGTGGAAGGTAATGCGTGATTAAAACAAAGTTATCAAAAATCAACCGGATTTTTGAGTAAATTCAATCTTGCAATTAAATGGGCTATAAATCTGCACATGTAGATTTTTTTTTAGACAATGTGTGCTGTTAATGATCCATGATTCTTGACAAAACTGGTTTTTGTTATAATGATCGTTGTAACTTAACAATACGTACACATGCATGCTAAAAACTTAGTCGGGTGTTTCAGCTAAATTTTTTCCCTATTTTATAACTTCCTTTTTACGTAGAATACATGATTCTTAACGGCCAGTATGCAGCTCAACAAGAAAAGCAAAACCTCCATATAAAATAACGTACAATAAATGGCTAGAAATTTTCTTAAGTCAAATTTCCTTAATTCTTAAGAAATTTGCTAGCTTTCTACTACGGTTTTCTAAAGTTTTTTGTGAAAAGAGACCACAAGGCAACCCATGTTTGCAACAGAAATATATGCCCGTTCTATTATTTCTTGAGGAAAGAAGGTGGCCACAGGCTGTGAAGTATCTGATGTCAAAATTCTTGGGACATACACACGAATTAATGGTAATTTTTTCTTGACCGTTTTCTTGAGAGCTGCATACTGGCCTTATTAACAAACGAAATAGTCCACGGCTTCCGAACGCACAACATTTCGTTTCTTTGCTCTTTTAAATCAGATAGCATTTACCTTCAGTTGCATTCAGGAAATACATATGTATGTATGTATGTGTGAAGTTTACCTGCAAATAAATAAAAAATAATATACTTAATTTTGCGAATTCAATAGTGAAATTTATATTAAGTATGTTAAATCTAAAATGATATGTATGTATTTGTAACTTAGTTTTCTTCTTGAAACAACTTTTTTGTAGGAACCAATCTTGGGGAATGATTTTCAAGATTTTGGAAGTCATGCATTTTTCTATGAATTACTTATGTAAAAAAGAAATTTCTCCAATAGCAGATATTGGTTTTCAATTTAAAAAAGAAATATCATAGTTCGATTTTTAATTTCATTTTAATTCGTTATAAGCGCAAGTAAGTTTAGTTGAAATTGAAATTGCCAGGTGTTTAGGCGCGTCTGCTAACACCAGGCGCCTAAATACATGCACTTCTCAACTGCCATGTAATTGAACTTTCTTAAGTTCTAATTAGATGGCACTTCAAAGTATGCTCGGCCTAGTCTGATGCATCCTCCGGACACTGCTTCCGGAGCATTTTGCGGACTCTGCATGACTTACAACCATGCAGAGGTGGCAAACGAACTTTGCCATTGGCCACAGTGCCTACCCACCATTTTTGAACCAATAAATATTTTTTTTATAAATACATACATGCAAATACTGGTCTCCCCTCTCACTGAGTTATTCACCAGGATTTTTGTTGAAATTATTTATTCAATAAATTTATGTTTACTTTTCCGGGATTTTTTCACTCGTTTCTACTAAACTCATCGACATGAGGTAGAACCCATCAGACGATTTGAATCTTCATTACCATTAAACCTATTTTTCGACACTTTGGCAGCTTTTTTCTCAAAGCTAGGCGTGAAAACATTTTGTCAATTAGCTTAAAATTAGCATGAAATAATCTATTAGATGCGGTCGGTCCCATTTTCGAGATAAACTCGTAAAAATTGTCTTCCTGTTAAGGTATTGCCGAAGTTGGACAACCGAATTCGCTTTGGCATTCACATAACCAGCATGAAATATTTCAAGGTGACAAGACTCGCGAGCAACGTGACACCAAGAAGAGGTCGACCACGATACGGGTCAGTTGCTGCGAGAGACCAACATCAATTGGCGTAGTGGAATCAGTCACTCAGATTAATCAGTACCACTCAAGAGGTGGCATAGATAA